GCATTAAGGGAGAAAACAATACGTTTTATATTGTTACGTCATTTATCGTGTAACATCTAATTTTAATATAACGCGTGTATAGTTATTTTTTTCCATTGTTACTGTATTTTTCAATAAAGATTTCTTGAAAGGATAGTTCGAAATATTTAATCTAACTAATAATAGTGTTTGGTAATAATTAAATTAATTATGAACTAATTAATTAATCTTATTGTTTAATTTTGAATAATTGTTTCGTATTATCATCAAATCACCATATAATTCTTAATAATAATAACCATCAATCAAAAAAATAAAGAAACGAATGTCAAAGATTACGGACGCGATTACGATAAGAATTATCATGATCATTATCACAACAATTTATTGATGAAAATCAAAATAATGATTACAATTATTTTCTTGATTTGAAAAAAAAATGATATTGTATTATATATAAACAAGGGAAAAAAAATAAAAAATGAAAAATAAAAAATAAAAATAAAAAATAAAAATAAAAAAATAAAAAATAAAAAACTAATTTAAATACAATTGACTGTTTTTTTAAACATATAAAAAAAAAAACCAATACGAAAAATTCAAAAATAACGAAGAACAAACAACGAAAATTTATAGCATAATGTACAAAAAAACCAAACAACATATATTTAAAAATTATACATCACGTCGGATTACACCAAAAGTTATTAAACTTAATAACGATACTGATAACACTGAATATGATGGTGATTATGAATACGAATACCTTAAAACTACAACAACGTATTTTACAAAACAAAACCAAGGACAAGAAAAAATTTATAATGACATTATTGATAAAGAATTTAAAAAGAAAGTTATTAAAGCAACACAAGATCTTGAAATACTAAACAGTGACTGCGACAGATTTTTTTTGCAAATTAAACAAAAACTTGATAAAAATGAAAAACTTTTAGATGATTGTTATTATAATAACAACAACAATAATAAAGAAAATTCAGCAAAAATTTATTATAATAATAAGGAAAAAATAATCAACGAGAGTAACGATAATAATATTATTAAGAATATTATTAATGGTGATGATTTTAACGAGAAAAGTAATGATAATAATAAGCATAATAACGAATTACTATTCACAATTTCTCCCATTACAACAACAACTTCCATAAAAATTTGCGACAACACTAACACTTATTCCATCATGAGTAGTAACAATAATAATAACAATGAAAAAAGTGAATTAATTAAAATATCCAAAAAACCGTTGTACACTTTATCCTACAAGATACCATCTCTAACAACACCAACGTCTCCTTCATCATCATTATTAAACAATGATGATTCCGAAAAATTATTTAAAATGGAATTGCCCCCGACAAATAATACAGCGCA